TATATCATTTCATATCTCTAAAATAACGGAAATATTCTAAGTGGAGAGAGTTACTGCCCTACTCTGTACATATATAATAGAACAAATACGTAGAGGAAAGGCCCCTATTATGAGATACCGAATTCATTTTGAGTAAATGCTAGAAGTCTGTAGGCAGAATTTTAAAAAATAATAGGTCATTTTAAAGGGAATTTAATAAGCTTTAAGATAACGTTACGCAAAGTTTGATTAAAATCCCATTTTTTTCGAAAATTGGAGAAATGTAAAAAGTGAGCAAATCGCAAAGTCAAAAAATTGTGCTCCTAATATGAGATTCGATAGTAAAGCGCAAAGTACGTCATAGTATTGCAATTAAAAAACTTTATTTAATGTATCTAAAATACAAATAAACACAGTCAGCGTGCGTGAAAAATGAGCATGCGGTAGATACCCAGAACTCGTTTTCAGATAGTTGGAATCAAGCATCGCAAATGTACAGGCACTCAACGTTCATTCCGGTTGTCTTTTTGTTATTATACAATAACATTTATACTTTAGTAACGATTTTCACTATAACATAGGGACATGGGTTATTTCATATTAGGAATATCCTGGGTGTTATATTACAATTTCCACGCCTTATGGTTTTACGATCATCAAATATAAACTTCAGTAATCAAACAATTCAATATATCCAATATTTTTCTATTAGAACGATCTTACTCCATCATCACATGAAAAATTTATTTTTTTTCCAAATATTTATTTATTAAATAATAAACAAGGTTAAAATGCTCATCTCAATGTAACCTGAAAACATCCAAATTCTAAAATCTTATTTTACAATCTATGACTATAGGCATAATCTAATAATGAATTTTCTACTAAATAGTTTTCAATCCAAGAGCAATAAACTCATGGTGGAACCAATAGATAGCGTTTATTAGTTTAGCAGAAACACCGCTATCTCATATTAGGCGCCTATCTCATAATAGGGGGCTTTTTTCTATATGTAAAATAGAACGTATTCAATATATCTTATTTATAATTAATTCTTTTAAATTTAACCTTTTCTCTCTTAACGCTG